TATAGCAAGAGCTGGTAAAGTATCATGTCTTTATGTAAGACATGATGTATCATATCCCATACGCTTCGGGTATAGGATCGATTACATATGCTTTAATATTCGACCGTTCTGTCTATACCAAATGCCTAGGGCGTTAAGAGGGAAAAGGACAAGAATTGGATATGACTAGTAGTTAAACAACTGTCAAGGACGATCTAAGGATCGCCAAGGATTGTTCACTTGTGGGCAGTTGGAAGTATAGTAATGAATGGACCATATTGACATTATTATTATAGATAGGATTCTATTAGGAATGAGTTGTCGTATGGAAAATATGGAAATGTTTCCATAATGGGAGTTGGATATTAAGAATCTATGTGTAGATTAGAAACTTTTATGCAAGAAGGATGTTCGAAGGAATGTACTTTGAATATGCGACTTCGTATCTATGGAGTTGTCTTGTAACAATCTCTAATAGAATACTTTGTAATTTAATTGGCAAAGTTTTGGTGACTTTGGTGCTATGACGTTACAAAAGGATCACTGCGTAAAATATTAGAATCTAACATATTCTGTTAGTGGCAAGAATTTGGTATTCTTACACTTATAATAAGGATTAGGAATTGTGAAATGAACATCATTGGAAATGTGTTCAATTGATATATTTCACAAAGTAACGATCGTAGGTAAACATAGTCTGCATGCTTGGAGCATGGGATGACTATTGTTTCATTTGAAGTATTAAGTTGATTTTCCAAAACATTATTCATGAATAATGTGTAATCGATATGGTGATTAAATAAGTTTTTTATTTATAATCAAAAGTTTTGAGGCCATATTGGATTCGATTATTCTTGTGTTTCATTTCGCATGTTTTGACTTCCCGAATAACTAGGTTATTCAAACATCAATAGTCGATCATACGTTGGAAGTAGGTAATGAGGTAAGACTGTCATGAATCCGAATGTAGATTGTCTAAAGTGTTTAGACATAGCAAAAGTCTGCTCCAGTGTTCATGAGTGCTCCTGAAATAAGATTTGAGTATTTGATTAAACCCACTCTCACGTGAATCACTTCATGGATTTTATCACGAGTAATTGTGAGACGATAATATCTTATATTCTTGAAACGGAAAGATATGAGTTGTTGTTTGCGAGTCGGTTGCACATTGATAATACGTAAACACATCAGTAACTTGATGTTATAAAACGTATTGTTGTGTGTGATTTGATGAGTAAATAGTGGAAGCATATGAGTTGACGTTTATCTGTTCTTTTTACCCAAAGTGTGATAAAAGCAATATCTGTGGGCCCCTCAATGATTTAGTGATCACACCCTAAGCGCTTGGCCAAGCCTGCACTAAGTTGATGTGTTCAATTGTAGTCTGTTGTCAGTCGTCATAAATCGGAAATCGGGAAACAACACGTAGATAAAGAGAATGATTATAATCCATGTTTCATGTCTATACGATATCTAGAATGGAGGAGTATATGATCCCTTATCTAAAGGACGCGTTGCTGATAAGATCAGAGTTTGACAACGGCTTTTGAAAGCTATGATTGCTAATCAGGTTCTGAAGTCGTACTTGCAAAATAGTTATTAGACTTATCCAAGTGGGAAACTATTGGATTAGGTGTCTAATCCCATAACTACTTTGGTATGTACTTGACCCGATTACGAGCATGGTCCTTTTGGGTTGCCTTCACTCATGCAACTTGATAGGATGACGTGAGGAGAGAGAGTAAAATTTATTATATGAATAATAAATTCATACTCAAAATGTTTTTATTAATATATTACAAGATTAATATATTATTTGGAAATCATATTATTTAATTAGTATTGATCATATATTAATTTGGAATTAATTTGGTGATCAAAAGAGACTGATTAAATAAAGGGGACTAATATTGTAATTATTTGGTAGTTGCAATTGGGCTAATGGATTACCTTGGAATAAGGTTGGACGAGTTCTATGGGAAGCCCATAAGGAATTCATCCAAGGGTTGTTCTAGAAATGGTCCATGGGCTGCTTAAGGCCTAAGCAGTCAAATTAGGGTTTCCACCTAAAACCATAGCAACAACAAGTATAAATAGACCCCATTACAAGGGATTTTAGTCAAAGGGCTTTAAGAAACCCTAGAGTGGCCGAAATCCTCCTCTCTCCTACATCATCCTTTGCATAGAGTGTTTGTGACTCCATTAGAGGTGCAACACTTGGGGCACTAGGCTTTCAGAAGTCAAGATCAAGAAGGATTAAACTTGTTATTGCTACATAACAAGAGAGGTAAAGATTCTAACCCTAATCATATGTCAATTTTGAAATATGTATGCTAGTCATAGGGTTTATTGCTTTGGTATTTCAATGTTGTATGTTTAGTTTAGAAAAACCTAGATCAAAGCAATTAGGGTTGCATGTACACCATAAGAATGATGTTATGCTCATAACCCAACAATTATGCCACAAACACGTTCTTATCTAAACTATTAGAGGAATCAAAATGAAAGTCATGCTTACTATTATTAGAAACACAAACTACAATTTCACGAATGCCAATTGGAATAAGATGTTATAAACATAAAACAACCATCTTTATAAATTAGAATATTACCTTTCCATTATCAAATGAAATTAATATGCATGTTTATACAACACATAAAATGGAATTTGGTTGTAGACATCTCCAAAAAGTAATATCAAATAACTAGATTTATCCTAACTTCATTACTAAGCACAAGTTTGGAATCCTCAATCATCGAGACATGCAACACTCATCCATTCCAATGATTAGTTTTAGCTCTGGATGCTTAACTTCCTTCATTCCTTAAGATCCTACAATAATATCCAAATGTGATTACCACATCATGCACAAAGGATCCACAAATTGGATGTATCTGGAGTTTGATTATTCAAGTACTTGATGTAGAGTCAAACATTTGACTTTACCATTTCAAGCACTTAGCGTAGCTTCATTTCTTATGATCCTTGTCATTGCATTGATTGCAATTTGCCTCTTTCAAATCATGGTTTCATAGAATATAGGACATACCAATTCCATTCTATCATAATGGGAAGTTCCGGTCGAAACCGTTCCTTTCTATTTTGGATTTGAACATTTCCTCTTCTTTCCGCCAACATTCAGAAATATGATAACTGGAACTGGATAAAAAAATCTAATTTCTTTTTTGTTTCCACGTTTTGGAGAAAGTTTAAGAATTCCATCAATGTCTTCTCCATACTATTCATATGATAAATCATGTTGAAATTATCATAAGAACTAGTGAGAGATGCAAGCACAAGATTTATAGCAAGACTCTTGTCACGGGCAACATTGAGATTCTCATGTTTATCTATGTAGCTCTGATTGAGCACATACAAAACGTTATCCTTTAGCTTGCATGCAATTAGGAACTTTTTAATGGTTTTCAAATCATTATTTCCTTGCCTTTTGGTGAAACATTTCACTTAATTGCAAATCCATTTCATAAGTTCACATGTTCACAAAAGATCCTTTTGGAACATCAAGGACATAAAAATAATGATGCAAGAGACCTTATTTGACAAATCTACATGTTTATGGGAATACCAACTTCTTCAAAGTTGACCCATTATTGATTTGAGGGATATGCTCATTGAGGACATCTTTGATAATTTTTAATCGAGGATGATTCCATAGCCAATAACCTATTCTCGATGGAGAACATAGAGAAGATAGAATTTGAAAGTATGGGAGTAGGTGGCGGAGGATTTCCATCTAATCTATGGAAGAAGGTTTAAAGAAGTTGATTCAATCCTTAATTATTAACCCAATTTTAAATTAAGGCTACAATCCATATTTTTGATTTGAACTTTAAAGAGGGACGTCGTAATCAAATTACAAATCTATTTTAGGTAGGTAGGACTTTTGAAAAATTTCAGTTTATTTTGAAACTCCGAGATCTTTTAAGATTCATTGAACTACCAATGGCATGTTAATCTCATATTATGCTCTTACATTTGTGACTGGAATGCCGAGGATCACAAACAAGATGTGGATAACCATGCAAACATGTGTGACACCCTCGATGTTTATGATATCATATTGACGTGTCGTTTAACCACACATGCTCCATCAACTTTGTAGTCCCAAATTAGTGTGCCAGTTAACCACACACGCGCTACTAACGACTCACAAAGAAACGATATGCGTTTTCATGGATTAGCATACAATTTCACATTTTTTTCCTAAAGTAACTAGAGTGAGATTTTAATGTATATTCTAGTACTTATATGTTATACTTTTAAAGTGATTAGTGTCCTATCAATACCCTTTCGGCTAACAAAAATACACTATGAAAAGAAGTGGTGGGTGAAAATGACACTCATTCGACGTTCATTTTATAGGCCTTCTTATATTTCTCTCTTACAGCATAGTTTTATGAATGAGGCGTAGTCTTGGTTTGACTAAAATTATTAATCTAATACGTAGATTATTATAAACTCTTATAATATATAATGATGTATTTTAAACATTTCAAACTTACAAGGTTTGAATCTAATTAATTTATTTAACTATTCAACTATTAATATTCAAATGAGATAATGTCATAAAAAGCCTTAATTTTTCAAGAAAAAGTCGGTTTTACCCTCCGGCAGGTTTTTGGGTCGTTAATGCCGCATACTTGTCTCATTTTTTGCGTTTATGCCAAATAACCGGTTGCAAGAGGGTTTACCGGTTACCCCTCCACTTACCCCTCAACTGTAGAAGACTTTTCCCCTGTTTCTTAACCAACGACGAAATTAACCCCGTTTGGTAAACGTTAGACATAGAGCTCCACACCCTCTCTCTGAAACGTCAACTCAATCTCAGTAAATCGTACTCTAAAAATATTTGGATTTTGGGAGGGAATCATCACAAAATTTGGGTATTTGAAGAGGATTAGGTCTACATTGTTGGTATCGTTGTTCAAGCAAGAAGAAAGTTGGGTGATAGTCTCGTTGAGTTGTTTGTAAAATCTGTTTGATTTTGTAGGTAACTGTAATGGCTTCATCGGATGACGTTTTCAAAGAACTCTTTGCTAGTATATACGAGCCCTTCTTTGGACTAAATGAGATGGATTATGAGCTCCATGGTATTTATATGGATCACGAACCAGAGCATGAGTTCGTGACTGCACTTGATAAATGTAGGGATGTCTTTCTCAATGTTCTACTTAGTGATGAAAACTTAAGGAATTCAAGCATGGATGATGAAATCAGAGCACACGTTTATCATGCTAATGAATGGCAAAGTGATGACGAAGGTGAACAAGAGGCGATGAAGAATAAGTACAAAATTCATGATCCAAACACACCATGGGATAAGATGGAACCTAAGGTAGGTGATATGTTTCAGTCTCCTGCACAACTTAAGTTTTGTATTCAAAATTATGGGGTGTCAAATGGATATCAGATATACTTTGAAAAATGTGATAAAACTAGAATAGTTGCAAGATGTGGGAAGAGGACAGAGATGAATGATTGTCCTTTCATATTGTATGCTGGATGGATGTACAATGAAAAATCATTTCAAGTTAAAAATTTGGTTGGAGAGCATCGTTGCAGTAGGAAGTTCAAATTTGGAAGTCTTGTTTCCCCTGAATGGATAGGTAGGCATTACATTATTGAAATTGCAAACACACCTAAGATGGAACTTAGGGACATGATTGCTGATATCAAACAAAGGTTGAGATGTGTAGTATCCATTGGGCAAGTCCGTAGGGCAAAAAAATGGGCTACTGAGTTAATTGAAGGAAAACTAACTGAACATTATGCTAGGGTATGGGATTATGCTGATGAATTATTAAGGTCCAACCCAGATTCTACATGAAAAGTTAGTGTCACTGTCAATCCAGATGTGAAGAACTACTTCCACAGATTTTACATAGGTTTCAAAGCTCTAAGTGATTGATGGAAATTAGGGTGTAGAAGAGTAATTGGGTTGGATGGATGCTTCCTGAAAGGACAAGTGAAGGGTGAGTTGTTGACTGCCATTGGTAGAGATGCTAATAACTAGGTATATCCTATAGCATGGGCTGTTGTTGATGTTAAAAACAAGCCTAACTGGACTTGGTTTATTGAGCTTCTTAGAGACAGTCTAGACCTTCATGATGGAAGAGGATTGGTTGTGATATCTGACCAACATACGGTTTGTTTTCAATACTCCATTTTATATAAATGTTAACACAATTTAAAAGGGATGCATATTGAGTTGAATGTTCTTGTCTTGTAGGGATTGGTTGAAGCTGTAAAAGATATACTCCCAAATGTTGAGCACAGACAATGTGCCAGGCACGTTTATGCCAATTTCAAAAAAGCATACACAGGGCTGGAGTTCAAGAAATTATTTTGGGTTGCATCAATGAGTTGTGTAGAAAGTGACTTTATGAGGCACATGGAAACCATCAAGAAGTTGAGCCCATCTGCATATGAGTACTTGATGTCAAGACAACCAAAAACATGGTGTAGAGCTTATTTTGATAGGGGTTATGCATGTGAAGCAGTTGAGAATGGAATCTCTGAGTGTTTCAACTCAATCATTGTTGATGCTAGGAAAAAACCCCTTATCACAATGCTTGAGGATATCAGGATATATATAATGGACATGTTTTCCCACATGACAGAGGAAAATGTCAAATGGAAATCAAATGTTTGTCCTGCTATACTTAGGAAAATGCAGTTGTTTGGGAAAAATATGAGGTATGCATCAAAGAAATTTAACATTTGTTGTTTCTTTTTATTATTCTTACTTACTATACCAATTTATGTAGGTTATAAGTTGTAGTTCATAGTGAAGGACATGTTTTTGAAGCTAGAAGAGGATGTGACAGCTATATGGTGGACTTGGACAGTAGGGCTTGCAGTTACAGATTATGGGATTTGTCTGGGATCCCATGTGTACATGCAAATGCAGCCATCAACTACATCAATCAAACACCAGATGTATATATTGATAGGTACTTTTCAAAGGAAAATTTTAAACAGTCTTACTCCTCTAATATCAAACCAGTTAATGGGAGTAATCTTTGGAGCCAAACTGGATTCATAAAGCCATTGCCTCCTTTGGCTAGGAGAATGCCAGGTAGGCCTGCTACAAAAAGGAAGAGGCATACTAGTGAACAAGAGGGGATGTTTTCATCAACAAGGGTATTTGTACCAAGAACAGTAAGATGTGGGAAGTGATTAGAGTATGGCCATAATAAAAAAAGTTGTAAGAATGAGAAAAAGCCAGTAGTACCCTTGCCATCAAAGAAAAGAGGCAGACCAAGGAAAGATCCATTGTTAACTGAATATGATGAATCATTAAGAGCTTCTTAATCCAGTCAGCCTCCAAAGAAGAAAAACAAGTCAAAGAAAGAAGCATCAAGTTCCAAGGTTTTAAAAGCATCAAGGTCCAAAAAAGAGGCTACTGAATATGATGAATCATTAAGAGCTTCTCAATCCAGTCAGCCTCCAAAGAATAAAAACAAGTCAAAGAAAGAAGCATCAAGTTCCAAGGTTTTAAAAGCATCAAGGCCCAAAAAAGAGGCTACTTCAACTCAGAAAGAAGATGTTTCTCCAACTGAAAAAGAAGTTGTTGTTGATGGTATTCAGATTGGGGAATGTGATGGTATTTAGATTGGGGATCATGGTGATAGTATTGAGACTGGGGGATCATGGTGATGGTATTCAGATTGGGGATCATGGTGATGATATTCAGATGGGGGAAGGTGATGGTATTGATACTGGGGATCATGGTGATGGTATTGAGACTGGGGATCATGGTGATGATATTCAGACTGGGGATGTTAATGATGTTATTGTTGAAGATGGTCATATTGTTGAAGAAGTTGAAGTGGTTGATGTTGGAAAAGAAGATGTTTTGCTTCCAAGGGTTGGTTTAGAGTCACACAAGGTACTTGATGAGGTTGAGCAGCGGTTGGACGAAATATTAGGGGAGGGTAGTTTTCAACAACAAATTAGAAACCTATGATGCTACCCAATCAGATTATGGGGGTAATGTTGAGTTTAATGATGGAAAAGATGATGGTGTCCTTGTAGATAAGGTAAAGCTGGATGTTGAACAGATTGCATTGATGTTGGAAGCAGGATATAGCATGGAAGAAATTGAAGGTATGGAAGGGTTAGAACTGAAACTGGATGACATGCCACTCGTTGAGTTGGTAAGAAATTACTTTTTTGTAACTGTTTTTCATTATTTTTCTCCAATTTAATTTATTTATGTAATTATCAATAACATGATATGGAAGATGTACTGGATCATCCATCTGATAATGATGATGATGCTATTATTGATGATGTTGATGGTATTGTTGATGATGCTATTATTGAGGTTGATGGTGGTGGTGAACAAGAAGAAGGAGGTGATGATGGTCACTTGGGTGATGATGAAGGTGAACAAGAAGAAAGAGGTGATGATGAAGGTCCTGATGATGTCCCTAGAGTGACAAAGTTGAGAAAACCCTCTGAAAGGATCATTTTGCAGAAGTTGAAGAAGACGGTGTTTTACAAAAAATGGAGGTGGTTCATCTGCTAGAAATCCAGTTAGGTTGGAGTAGTTGGTTAAGTGCTTTGGGGGTGGAGTGGGGAGGGTAAACACGGGCAGATGGAGCCCTTTTTGCTAAATCTTATTGTCATTCCACCCACTAAATGCAACATACATCCACTTGTTTTATGTTATAAACCTGGTTGCCTTTTTTGATAATCTATTTAGGCTTTTGGATACAATTAGATGGCTGCTACGTATTAGTGAAATGTAAAAACCCTTATGCAATTAATACACCCCCTTTTATTTGTGTTATGATGAATGTGTTATCTATTGTTGTCAATTTTTATTACCATATAAGAATCTTACTTTTCATTTATGTTATGTTGAATATGTTTACCAGTATTGTCAACTTTGATAACCATTTATGCATCTTACTTCCCATTTGTGTTATGGTGAATATGTTTACCATTATTGGCACATTTGATTACCAATTTATGCATCTTACTTTGCATTTGTGTTCTGCTGAATGTGTAGTTACCATTTTCACAAAACCATTCATAAAATAGATCATAACCATACAAACTTTAATACCATTGCACCATTCAAACTTTTACAAATTCAATACATCTACCAATGTAATAAACTACACTACAAACTAGTTATCAATTCATCTAACTTACATCTTAATAACCACAACAACAAGATATACCAAAATACTCACTAGCAGCCCTACAATCAATTTGAGCAACATCACATATTCGACATCTTTATGTTGAAGGTTCAATTGCTTCTTAAAAGCCCTAAATTCGTCTTCTTCATCAACCCATTTGAAATGACCACAACCACCATCTTCATCCTACAAAAAGAAGAATAAAATTACATAAAGAGGGGACGATAGTAGAGAGAGCATAATTAGGGCAAACATCACAACAATTACCTGGTAATTAGGGCAGCCACGAAACTTTCGTCCTGGGTTTTCTGGAGTGCGTGAAACATAAATAGGGCAAATATCACCACAGCTACATCGGATTATCTCCCGATTTTTCCTTCTTGATGTGCCGCTCCAGCTTGAATTTGATTTCGACGTTGTCATTTGGTGTAGAAATCTGATTTTGTTTTGGTGATGTTCTTCTTCAAAAACCCAACTTCGCCGTTTGGTAAATGGGGTTAAGAAACGGGGGAAAAGTCTTCTACAGTTGAGGGGTAAGTGGAGGGGTAACCGGTAAACCCTCTTGCAACCGGTTATTTGGCATAAACGCAAAAAATGAGACAAGTATGCGGCATTAACGACCCAAAAACCCGCCGGAGGGTAAAACCGACTTTTTATTGAAACATTAAGGCTTTTTATGACATTATCCCTATTCAAATATTTGGATTAATAATATTTTATGGACTATAATTATCTTAATAAAACAATTAACTTAAATAATATTAATTCCATATTTATCTTCCTTTATTTTCGAATTTTGATATATCTTATTACATAATTAAATTTCATATTGTAAACGATTTAAGATAACTATTAATTATCAAGTAATTATCATCAAAGACGAAAAAGGAAAGTAAATATGGATCTGGTAGAAAATGAGGCGCGCCACACCAGGTAAAGGGCGTGGCGCGCTCGACAAACATAAGAGTTATTCGATTTTTCCAGTTTTGATTCCAGTTTCAATTATACACTTATAATAAAAAGAACCCTAGGTTCTGATATCACTGATGAGTTTTTTAGTTTACATTAAACTTTTTTGCACAACGGAAACATCATAAAATCTAATTATGAGAACATACAACCTATAGATCTATGTCTTTTCTCATTATAACAACATAATATTGAAACTATCATAAGCCGTAGCCCATATCAAAATCAATAGATTGAATTACATACCTTTAGTGCTATGATCGTATATAAACTCTTAAATCCTCCGACCTGCTTCAGAAGGTAGCACCAAAAGTATGGTTGCCTTTAATGACTCACACCTAAAACCCTAAAATACTAGAAATCAATAGGAGAAAGAATGTGACTTGTGAATTTCGTTTTCCACCTTGTGGGAAGTAAGAACCATGAAATTTGATGCCCAAAGGGTCCTATTTATAGCTATGAAATCATTAGAATAAACCCTAATTTAAATAATAAGATAATTTGATTTTATCTATTCAAGGTAATGTATCCTTATCAACTCGAGGAGGCTTCCGAAACCTTAAAATCGTCCATACCATGGATAATTCCAGATTTGCCTTTTTTTGCTCGGTTATGAACAATTACAATTCAGTCTTTGTACCTTTAATTAATTTCAATTAATCTCAAATTAATTCCAAATTAATTCTGATTAGTAATTAATTAATTGCAATTATTTTCTAATTAATTTATTAATCATATAACAAATTAACAAATCATTTTATCTCCCTCATAAAGTCATTTTAGCTATTTCTGGATTTTGAGGGCAACCATCAATGACTTTATTTTTATTCCATTAAGTTATACCAATTTAGTTTTCACTTTGACCAATTTAGTTATGCATTTGGACACCTATTCTAACATAAACTTCAAAATTTATTGACATAACAAAATATTTTGTCCATGTAACATTACATCATAATAGGCATTGTTGCGCCTGGAGCCCCATTGAAAGTAGAGGGTTGTTTAGGAGCTAAATATTAGGAAAGATTGGTTTGACATGAGCCTTGGTGACAATGAGGGAAGAAGAGGAAGTACAAACAAGAATAGAAGCAAAGGATGACTTAGGAGCACATTGGGGAATGATTTGAGTTAGTCATGTGGAAATTTTCTTCTGATTTCTTTGGTGTTTGTACAAAATGACCTTTAAAAAATCTTAAATAAACACCCAATAAACCGAAAAATTGGAAAATTTATAGAATTACTATCCGAATCAGAATCTGAAAAATTGGATATACAAAAATTTGGATAATGTCAAACACCCCTAAATATGTGTGCGTGTCGGCCAAGGAAGGTGGGGACGGGATGATTAGGTCGACACCGTGTCGAAACAGCGGAATGAATTTTTGGTGGGAGCCCTTTACAGCTCTGCGACCATATTAGGGTTTAATATATTTTCTCAATTAGTATAAATACATGTACAGTACAATGGGCTAGCATTGGGCTACTCTATAATGGGCTGAGATACAAACAATACAAATAATAATTTACTACTTTGGGTATTGAAACTCACCATTGTCACTTGATTCAATAAGGACAGCGTTCTAATTTACATTTGAGTGTTCATCTTCTTCCCCATTTTTTCGTTTACAGAACACAACATAATTAAAAAATACAAGTATTTACATACTTTCTTGCTGCCTATCCAGAACAGTAGAAATCATCTTATTGATGTCAAAAAACCTATCACATTGATCTTCAACTCATAATTTCCCATTTCATGCTGCTTTTCCTGTATTCTATTAGCAGATTTGACGACAGTGTGGTTCCGTTTATCAATATCAATCATCTCAAGCGTGGGGATGTCTCCTATATTCTCTGGAATACCCTTAAGATAGTAGCATTCTAGCAACACCAATCTTTTAAGGCAGGGGAAGTTGCAGCTATAGGCGTCCCATTGATGAACATCCAGATTCTGCAATTTCAAGAACTTTAGTTGGCGAAACTGCCCCTCACCAGTGTCCCACGAGGGTCCTTCAAAAGCATAGTTTAGCAACTTGAGAACTTCAAGGTTAGGCAACCATTGAATATTTGACATACAAAACCAAGGAAGACGACATCCTGATAGAGTAAGCTTTTTTAGGGTTACTGGGAAACTAAAGTATTTATTTGACAACAGTGATTCCACCTGCAGAACTTCCGGCTGGATCACCTTTAATGTTTCAAGATGATCTAGTAAGGAAAAATTCGGGAATGAGTATTCTTTTTGATCCCCATAGACAGCACAACCAAGCTTCCTGATATTTGGAATCCTTTTCAACAAACTTTCAGCTCTACCATCTAATCTTACCATGGAAAGAGTTTGCAAGTTGGAAAACACATCAGATTTGGTTGGGTTGTGAATATCAGGAATAGAAATGATCATTTCAATCCACAAATGCCTCAAACTAATCATCTTTGGAATGTTTTCAGGTAAGTTCATGAAACCAGAGTAATTTTCTTTAAGAATGAGAGTTTGAAGTTTCCACAGATTACACACTGCGGAGGGGAGCTTTGTGACCTCAGACCAAAGAGCTAAGTGCCTAAGATGAACTAGAAATTCTAAAGCAAGAGGAACTGTGGATGTGTGAATAGTTTGTAGATCAAGTACTCTGATAAGTAGAAAGGGATGGAAACACCTTTCAACTCCTAAACTGAAGTACCATTCCTTGTTAAAGCACAAAAACGAGCGAATATGTGGGGCAGAATTGTCAGAAGAAATCTTAGATAAAAATTTAGAGTCCGCAAATAAACGCCGTTGCTTATCTCTACATGAAATAAACTTAGATGATGAAAGGTAACCTGACCTTGAGAAAAAATTCTCTTCTGTAGCTTTTTTCAAACATAGCTCCCTCAGTAGATCATGGATACGACAAGCCTTGACCCCACCATTGGACCTTCTTTTTGCAACAATCAGTAGACTTCTATCTATTAAATCCATCAAGTATTCTTCAGCCACTTCTTCCATGAGTTTAGGGCAATCTTCATGTATAAATCCCTCAGCCACCCATAACCAGATTAACCTTCGCACTGGGATTTTATAGTCCTCTGGGAAACCCCCTACATAGAGAAAACAGTCTCTTAAATGCCTAGGTAAATGGTCGTAACTCAAAGCCAATGTGTCCAAGTATCCATTCGGATCCCCAACAATGTATGAAGTTACACTTTCAGCAACTTTTTCCCACAAGTCTACGCTCTTCTCTCCCTTTACTAACAATCCAGCTATGACAACTACTGCTAGTGGTAATCCCTGGCATTTCTTGGCAATTTTAATTCCAGACTTGATCAATCTTTGAGGACAGCCATCTTCCTGAAACACTTTCTTGCACAATAGCTCCCAACTCTCCTCTTCGGTCAGAAATTGTAGGTGGTGTGTGAAGCCATCTGGTTTTGCGTAAAAAGCTATTTCGGAGAGGCGAGTGGTTAGCAGAATTCTACTCCCGGTGTTGTCATTTGGGAAATAAAGTTTCAAATCATCCCACGCCTTTGCACTCCATACATCATCAATGACAATTAGATATCTCTTCCCTTTCAAGCTCTTGTACAGCAATTCTGAGATTTTATGATCCTTCAACTTATCAAGATCTTCTGGCTCTAGTTTACCAATGGATGTTAAAAGGGAAATTAACAGATCCTTTTTATCATATGCTTGAGACACTGTAACCCATGCACGAACATGGAAATGATAGACAATATACCGATTATTGAAAACTTTTGTTGCCAATGTAGTCTTACCTAGTCCACCCATACCAACAATGGACATGACATCTAATTGCTTTCGATTTCCCGTAAGTCTGTCGAGTAAAACCATTGAGTCGTCTTCAAGACCCACTATGATTTCTTCCTTTAGTACTCCACTATATTTTCTGGTAGGCGAAGTTCCTGCAGAAGTTGGCTGCAGGCCTTGAGTTTGATGAGACTGCATCTTGGTATCCATAATCTCTCTCTTAATTGACTTGATCTCTTGTATAGCACTATCAAGGTTTGGGGAGAGATCACAGTTGTCAGCTACACACATCGTCATGCTTGCATTGTTTCTGATGATAGCACTGGTGAGGAATAGATCGACAATGTCCTCAGCATCATCTACCACATCTTTGAGCCTTCTCTTCAAGTTTCTAGTCTTTTCGAGCTCAAGGGGTTCCTTTGTGACCTCCATATCAATAACAAAGTTTCTCAGGGACTCAAGTTCCTCATACAAAGACTGGATCTGTGACCTCTTGTCCTGAACAAATGGGTTCTCATTGATCGATGGGTTGTGGTCACAGTATATTAGTTGCTTCAAGTTCTCCATTAATAATTCTAGACCGGTGTTTTCCATCTTATTTTCTTTATTTCTGTCTCTCTCTAAACACAATTCTTAAGTTCTCAATTACTCAAAAGTAATGATTTTAAACGAGACCTTTTTCGTGTAAAATCTTATTGATGGGGACTTGTTAGAATTAAATTAGTCTATTTAGAAGATAATGGTTTTTTATTTTTCGAATTGACGATTAACAGATTCTCAAATAAGCTGATGTCGGTTTGAGTCAGAAAATAGACTAATAAAAGTATTCTAACTGTTAGCTATATTTTAGTTCACATTAGACGATGTTTACACAATGTTTTAATAATCCAGGTGGAGTCTTCACAATGAGGTGAAGACAAGAACAATCAAAACATGGATCTTTCTTGGTAACTCCTTGTTTGATGTTAAGTTTGCATGCATACTTTTCTTTCTCAGGAAGTTAAACTTAATTATTACAATAATGTATCAATGTTGACTTTGGTTTAGGTGTAAATAGACGTTAAAAGTATCGGATGGGCATATTCTATACCCATATACTGTTAGTTCATTGGATATTTGAGTTCATATGCACATCCGGTGGATATTTCAAAGTGACATTCGTATCTTCATCCAACAATTGTTAAATCGATTATTTCTACTTTTACAAATCAAAACTAGTAATCAACTAATTTTGAGGGAGGTAGAAACTATTATTTATTGAACCGTATTATTGTTAATTTTGATGATGCGGTAGTAAGATTTTTTATTTTGTTCTATTGAATGACATTTAAGAAGTAAGATTTTTTATTTTGTAATGTTTCTTTTCTAGCTCCTTGCTAGGTTTTTAATAATACCCCTGCCCTTCAAAAAAAATACCAACTAATACTTATTAGTAAGGCTATAAACGAACCAAACGAACATGAACGAGGCTTGTTCATGTTCGTTCGTTTAAGTTAACCGAACAAATAAACGAACACGAACTGTTAAACAAACGGGTTTTCTTGTTCATGATCGTTCATTTAACAAATTATATTGTTCATGTTCGTTCGTTTATGTTCGTGGACATGCTAAATGAACATAAACAAACGAACATAAACGAAAAAAGATAAACAAACATATTTATGAAAATAAATAAACATATAATATAACAATGTAATCAAACATAATTAAACATATATGAAGACAAAATGAACTTATATGAATGAACATAAATAAACGTAAATGAACAACATAAACGAACGTTCACGAACATAACCGAACGAACGAGACAATTGTTCATATTCGTTCGTTTAACTAAACTAATGAGAATTTGTGTTCATGTTCATTCATTTATTAAATAAATGAACACAGGCCGACCTTGAGATTTTGAAGACCCTGTGCGATTTAACAAAAAATAGACCCTAAAATTTGAAAAATCTCAAAATTTAAACAAAAAAAATTATAAATTATAATTTTCTATTGCAAATACATAAAATTATCAGCAACAGATTAGAAAATTGTAGATTTCTTCTTAGAAACTTGGTTCTATATGTTGAAACTCAAGCAATAAAGGGTATGAAAACTATAAAAGCAGCAGATCAGAAATTTATCAGATAACAAATTAGAAACATATCAGAAACGAATAAAGGGTGCCTTCTGAATTTTGTCACTTAAAATCAGCAAGAAAGAATATCAAAAACTGTAAAAAAACAGAATTCAAATACGAACTTGATCAGAAATACAGAAACCAAAAAGAAACTGATTTACATCTTAAAACTTGATCATAAACGAAACAGAAACAAATGTTCTCGTTCAAAACTTATCGGATAACATATTAGAAATTTATCAATTATCAGTTAGCAAAAGGAAATTTATCAGCAACAGATCAGAAATTTATCATACATCAAATCAGAAGCGAATAAAGGATACCTTATGATTCTGATTTTCGTCCTCAATGCCTTTCCTTCTAATTTTCTAAACTGATGTGCTCAATGTTCTTGTTCCTTTTTATTTTCAAAACTCAATTCTTGTTCCTTCATAAATTAGAAATAAAAAAATTAAGCAGAAGAAAAAGAACACATGAAGAACATGAAACCACAAGTCTAGAAATTAGAAATACCTTAATCCCTATCTTCTATCATTCTCCTTCTGATTTCGAAACCACAAATCCACAACATGAAATCTGATTTTCGAGAAGAGAGAGAGATTGTAGGATCATTTGTATTTTGTAACTTTGTTTCGGAAATTAGAATTTTGTGAAGAAGGGTGAAAGAAGAAGATTGTTCATAGCTTTGCAGATTTAATTCCTTTGCAAATTTAAGCAAACAATATCGTTGCAGATTTAATTCCTGGCCCATGCGTAAACAAAGAAGAAATCGAAGCGTTTTCCTTTTCCCGAAATTTTCTTTTTTCCCGCTACTTCTTACGTGATTACTGATGCGTCACTCGCAGGAGCCAGGAGGTGATCCAACCGAACCTAGGGTAACATAAAAGCTATAATAATTTTGGGCCCTCCGATTTTTTGGGCCCTGTTCTTCAGCACCTTTTGAACTTGGCAAGGGCCGGCCCTAAATGAACATAAACGAACTTTTGCCGAACGGTTCACGAACAGTTTGTTGAATGATCAGTTCATTTACAGCCCTACCTATTAGGATTTAGTTATTAAGGTTAGGCTAATACCCATTGTCATTTGAGTCATTAACATTTTATAACATAAAATGATATAGCTTTAGGTTAAAACCTTACTGGTGACTACAATCCCCAACCTTCGCGAAGGGCGAGGCTATGTATAAGTAAGGTGGGTCCAAGGACCCACCTAATTTTATAGTTTATTTAGTGACCTATCTTAAAAAAATTTAGCCCTTCCTAATTCATAAATTTTTTGATTTTGTATAGAGAATTTTCTATAGAAAAATAAGTGAACCATGTAGTTTTCTATTCCAGACTCGCCACTAAATGCCGCCTTCCACCTTCGACGATCACCGTTAATAGTCGTTGGATGTGCATTCTTTATGCTTCATATTTCCTCCTTTCTTCTTTTTCCTTCTAAATATAAAACAGATGTCGGCACCAAACAATAGCTCGTTCATCTGCTTCTTCCACTGCCTTGTCTACTTCTGCCTCATCCTCAGATAACCCCTGCCTCCGAACCTTATGGCTTATCCCCGACTGGCCTCTTCTTCTTCATATCTCTTTTTCGAGTCAGCCTTTTCCATTGATGTTGCTGCCTCCCTCCAACGACTTTATCACTAAAATTGTTATATGGTATTTATATACCAACTAAAGTAATTAATCTAAGCATACAACTACAATTTGAAACTATACATATTGATGTGTCAACGAGTTGATGTGTTAACGAGTAGTGTTGGAACACTTATTTACTTTTAAAGACTATTGAGAGTATCTAAATTAGTATATGAACATTCACTCAACCATCAAATGCAACATAAAAGTTAACGTAACTGAATATGGTGAACTAAAGACAAGTTACATTTTTTTTTTGAAAATATGTTACAAAATGGTCATATCTCAGACATCAATGGTGATGATTTATCCAACAAACTGGATTTATTACAAAAAATTACAAATTGAACCTAACATAACTAACAAAATACTAAATCTCTTACGAAAACAATTATTTAGCATAAAGAATATTGTTCATTTTTTCGATTATATATAGTTGAATTAGTGGAAGAAAACTCTTCAAAATTAAAACTTTTAAAATATTGTTTGCAATCTACCATGCCTTAAGAGAGATTAAACACTTTGGATTTTATTTTGATTAAACATATTGATTATGAAGTTGTAATCGATATATTTGCTTCTAAAAATGCTAGATTAATGTTTAGATGATAACAAGGTTCTAAATAACATTAGGCGTGACTTGGCGGCAATGTCAATGTAAAACGAATGATAGAAGATAATGTAGAATAGTTTGAATTATAAGTTTGTTATATAGATAATAACAATTGAATGTAACCTTATCAAGTAACGATCGTATATTTATGATAATGATACCTACGGGTTTTGTGTGGAAAATATTTTGTCTCACTTGGTATCAGAGTCCTATCTTTCTAGGGTTCCACTTCCTACCCTCTCTATCTTCTTCCTGTTGGTGTTCTAATCATTCCTATTTTAAATCGCATCTCCATGGCACCCTATTTTTTTAATTCATCCAAACTGGCCACTGCAATCATATGCAAGCTAACCCGCACAAACTTTTTGATGTGAAAAGCCCAACTTATCCCCATTCTACTAGCTGTTAAACTCTATGGGTATCTTGACGGTACCATTGCAGCTCCTGCTGCAAAAGTAACTATTGGAATAGGTAATGATGCAAGAGAAGCTCCAAACCCATAATACGAAACCTGTTCAGTTCAATATCAGGCCATTATCGATGGGTTGCTATCTTCAATGACGGAGGACGTATTAGCCCAAATCACCCGCTACATTGATATGTCGATCTAACTCTCGACATCCCTTCACACTACGTTCTCTTCTCAACATAAAAGGTAATTCTATCCAGATAAGTACACAACTCTCAACTACGAAAAAGGGTGATATGAGTGCCTCAGAATACTATCAAAATATGACAAGATTAGCGGATACTATGGCCAATATCGGACATCCTATGACCGATGAAGAGGTCATAGGCTACATTCTTTTTGGCCTAGGACCTGGTCATGGTGATCCTTTCACAGCTATTACAGCAGTCAGTAACCAACAAGACATAACTCTACCAGAGTTCTATTTGTATATCATTCCATACAAAGCACAAGCCACTGCTATGAATGGTTCAGTGGAGTTCTCATCCTCTGTTAACAATGTTGCAAAACAAGAAACAACCGGTTCAAGTTCACCTCGTCGAAATTTCAACAACAATAGATATAACGGGTCTAATAATCAGCAACAAAGTAATTATGGTAGTCGTAACAGTCGTGGTTGTGGTAGAAGTTATGGTGGAGGACCACATTGTCAAGTATGTGGTATTCCTTGCCACACAGCTTTGAGTTGCAGAAATTGATTCAATCACGCATACCAGTCAGAAGAATATTGTGGTAGCCACAACACCACTT